CACTGCCCACTCTCTTACAACTCTCTATCCCAGTTACACTCCGATACCGAATTTATCATTTCCTTCTCTCTCTCTACTCCTTCACCAAATATCATTTTCATTGTGGGGAGATTCGGTTTTCTTTAATTGGTCAATGATTAGATCAGGTTTTTCTATTGGCAAATCCTATACTGCATAGACAGCAGAAAATGAAGTAAAAAAAATGCTAATAATTAAATAGAACAGGTGATAGCACTTAGGATGTTAATCTTTAAATTAAACCTGCCAATTTAGCTTTATTCGTGATCCTCAAAAATTCACTGCTCTCAAAAGGTGTTAAAGACAATTCACTGAACTTTGTGTCAGGTTGATTTCCAGGAACACCGTTCAGCTGAACTGCTTGTCAACGGACATGACCTGTTTAACATCTAAGTCACCTTATGTTCATACTCAAACATCGTTCACGCTATCCTCAGAAGGGAGATAACTCTTAAAATTCATTAAAACCTTCATTAAGAAATATCTTTCTCTCCTTAGAGTTAAATTTTGATCGCCAGTCAATTTTCGAAATTACACTTCTACATTAGCCATGGTGTCATAGTACTAATTTTCGATAATTGGTGGGTGGAGTTATGGGAGAAATGTTATAATTTTTATTTTTAGCCTGTAGTGACCAAAGGGCATAATTCAATTCTTTATAAGATTATTCTTTATGCCCTTTGGTATCCAAAGGACATAGGAATTGATAAAAACATTTCTGTCTAAATATATGTGCTTGTTTTGCTACTCTATATATATATATATATATATATATATATATATATATATATATATATATATATATATATGTATGTATGTATGTGTGTGTGTCTATATTAACATGTATGCATTATATGGGCAAAAACACAAATGGTAAAAAGTTTACTGTCTGGCCATGGGAACCGGTTTGAAATCTCACCAGAATGGTGACGTCATGATAATAGGATGGAGCGCACGGCAGGCTTGAAAAGTGCCTGAAAACCATACTACATGGTAACCCAAACCTTGTGAGTAAAATTGGGTCGCGGGAACCTTTCCTAAGACGTCGATGGTTGTGCTAAATTGAAGTCAGGCGCAATCGTAACTGAGTGTTTGAGCGTGATTGAAATCTTAAAAAAAAATATCATGCTAAATAAATGATTACGAGACTAAATTAATTAAATTTGTAAGACATAAAACACACACACACACACACACATATTTAAAAAAGTTCCAAGTTGAATGATAAGCAGGAAGCTAGAAGAGAGTTTTATAAACCAGATTTACGAGAGAGGAAATTTAACGGTTACATCTAGTCAATTTAAACGTAAAAATGATGAGACCTAGCTGGCAATACATATATATATATATATATATATATATATATATATATATATATATATATATATATATATATATATATCATGGTGTATTTGGGTAGCTATCCCTCTTTATTCAATTTCTTAAAACGGCTGACAAGGTACTGCGATTAAGTTTTTTTATTTAATGTTTTTTCTGGTCTTAGAATTTTCCTCACTTCTGGATATATATTATGTAGAAATTATCCGAATATTCTGGGTGCAACGGATAAATTGGCGTCTAAATTACGCCCAAATTAAAAAACACTGACATTTCATTTTAACATACATATTTACCAAAATTACACAAAAACTATTTTAAAATACTAAAGAGTAAATCTATTCGATAAAATCGTCATTAGCTTCAACTACAGACTCCAGAAGACTTCAGAATTCCTTGCATCGCTTCTGGAGGGTCTCTTTTTGGTGAATGATGCCTTGCCTTCAGATTGTTTTTGGTGTTACAAAGGGTTTTGTTTGTTTCTTAGTCAACTGCACCCCACACATAATAATCAAGGGAATTACAGTCTGGCGTGTTAGAGGGCAGGATGTAACGTGTGTTGTCGTCCCAGAAATTTTCTGACAGTCATGCCTACGTTCTCCTATTGTGTAGCAGGCTGCAGGGTCCTGTAGACAGATACAGGGTTTTCTAGCAGACACCCTGTAGAACCCAGGCAGCGTTACCTCCTCAAGGGACTTAATGTAAGCCTGCGTTTGAGTCTGAATCTCTAATCTAATTCGGGAGTTCTTTTCTTATCAGAGCGATTAGAGTGACTTTTCCGTGCTGCTGTACCTTCATAATCACCATCGGATTCATCCAATTTTTCCGAATCCTCAGCGTTGTGGTCAGATTGACACCCAATCACTCTGAAATGTTCGTACTGGAGATTCTGGTGAGAATTCGAAGCAGTACATCATGCCGTTTCGAAATTTTTGGCAGCGTGAATTGCGTCATGATGTTCTTTTTCTTGCAGATGGTTCCCAACTGGCCCTAGTATACTGAGCAAAATCAAAAATGCAACGCGCATGCGTTAAAATGAAAATATAACAAAAATGGCGACAAATTAACTTTCGCACCCTGTATATGAGGTATAATTTTTGATAAACCCTGTGAAATAAACGGTGCAATTGCTGGCGGGCTTGTCTACGAAACTCTAGAGTCTAGTTTCTGAAAGTAATATCAATCATCTAAGTGGCAATTTTTATATTTGTATTAAATCTTACTGTATTGTACAATCGACAAAATCAAAAACACACAACGCAAAAAGGAAATTAAAAATATAGAATGACGACAATTCATAGATGTGTGTATATATATATATATATATATATATATATAGATAGATATATATATATATATGTGTGTGTGTGTGTGTATGTGTGTTGGCTGAAATTTTGGCGTATAGTAGATTCGCACAGTTTCAGCTTAAGATGCTTTTGTAAATGCAGAAGTTGCAAATGCTGGCAGAATTAATTTTTTTTAATGCAGAATAACAATAATTTTATATTTAATGCAGGCGCAATCTTTATATTCTTCCTAACTATCGTAATTTAGGTCCATCCTATATTGCTCGTTTTATTTATTTTTATTTTATTTTATTTATATATATATATATATATATAAAATTTGTTATACTTTTATATTTACACACGCCTATCTCTGATATTACTTTATATCAATAAATATCTATATCTATTTTATCAATAAATATTTCCACATAATGAAGATCCTTCCATATAGTGAATATATTTTTTTATTCCAGTATATATCTTGAAAGATATACCCAACAACAGATAAAACAAATCCTAAACGATGACTTTTAATTTTTTTTTTATTTTAAAACACCAAAAAAACACCTCTGAACGCCAGCAAATGATGGCAGTGGTGGCTTGGAAAAACGCGGAAAAGGGCAAATCTTATAAATTCACCTTATGGGAAAAAACGAAGCTGGATTTTAAACTGCTCAAAGTGCATATAGAATTAACGGTAAGTGCCAAACAGAGACCGAAGGGCGTGCGAGGAAGCAGAAACTCGGATGGCCAAAAGGCATTAATCGTCCAGAGTTGGGAAATCGTCCAAAAACATGACAAATGGTCGGTCGGGAGAACGTACTGCTCTGATAAGCATTACGCACGCGCAAAGAAGAGAGTTCGGTTCGTGATTATATATTGTGTTGGCTTTTACGTTTTTTTTTACTTTTTTTTTTTCATTTCCAAGGATCACTGATATACGGAAAGAATAATAATTATTTAGAAAATTCCAGTGAGAGAAAACGGGTAAATGAGACAGAAAGAGCGGAAAAAGAGAAAAGAAAAAAGCCAGGAGATAGAAGAAAGAATAGAAGAAAAAAAAAGGAAAGTGAATGGTTTAGAAAAGGAAAGAGATGGAAAAGGTCAATGTGAAGAACCTGACTGAGAGCGAGGGCATAAAAGAAAAGAGGAAACGAAAGTTTGTGGAAAGAGGATAAAATGCGAGAAAACAGTGAAGATTTGCTGAAAAGTGTCACTGACAAGGAAAATCAGACAAATCTATAAGAAAAAAGAGAGAAGTGAGATAATCGAAGCAGAATATGGAACAGCAGAGAGAAGAAGGTTGTGGAGAAATAATAAAACGGTATAAGAATAAGAATTTTAAAAAATATATAAATTGTACAGATTTAAGCTTGAAGGCGGAAGAAAAAGTGAAAAGGACAAGAAAAAACAAGAAAAGAAAGTAAATGATATTTCTCTTCCGTCTTTATAAACTAGATTCTCTTCTGCATTCTTTTTCACATTTTTTTTTCTTATTATATTTTGTAACATTTTTTTTTTTCAAGGCATCGTCTCAATATTTCCTCATTTTTAGGCTTTTCATCTCCAGAAGATTTCTTCTTATTTTACTTCATTTTATTCTTACCCTCCTGTTCTGATTCTTACTTCCATCCAATTTTGTTTCTTTATATTTCATTCATTTATTCGTTCTTCCGTTCAGGTCCTCTTATTTTACACATTTACTACCTTCTATCCATTGTCATTTCATGTCTTCTTCTTCTGATGTTGTTGTTGTTCTTCTTATTGTTCTTCTTGTTGTTGTTCTTCTTCTTCTTGTTCTTCTTCTTCTTTTTCTTCACGTTTCCTCCTTTCGTTCTCTTGGTTTTCTTCTCTTCTTTATCATTTTATTTTCACTTCTTCTTCTTCTTCTTCTTCTTCTTCTTCTTCTTCTTCTTCTTCTTCTTCTTCTTCTTATTCTTCTTCTTCTTCTTCTTCACGTTCCCTCCTTACGTTCTCTTGGTTTTCTTCTCTTTTTTTTTCATTTTATTTTACTTTTCTTCTTTTTCTTCTTCTTTTTTCTTCTTCTTTTTTTCTTTTTTTTCTTTTCTTCGTTTCCTCCTTTCGTTCTCTTGGTTTTCTTCTCTCTTTTCCATTTTATTTTACTTTTTTTTTTTTGCTTCTTTTTTTTTTCTTTTTTCTTCTCTTCTTTATCATTTTATTTTCACTTCTTCTTCTTCTTCTTCTTCTTCTTCTTCTTCACGTTTCCTTCTTTCATTCTTTTGGTTTTCTTCCCTCTTTTGTCATTCCATTTCCTCTTCTTCTTCTTCTTTGTCATTTCATTTCTTCTTCTTTTTCCCTTATAATACTGATTCTTTTTATAAAATAGAAAGATTATATGAAACTTCACATCTTTCTTCTCCTTCCTCTTCGAATCTTTTCTTATCTAGGAAGTCTTCTTCTCATCATATAGAAAGGATGTATGACATTTAAAAAAAGAAGTGAAGACAGCATAAAGAAAGGTGAAAGCCAAAGCAACGCATTATTTGAGAAGGTATCTTCATGCAGGTGAGTACAAGTTAGATAATTTAACGATATATCAACCCCCGTTAGTTTATTTAAAGCCGAATACATGTCGTATTAATGGGAAGGTAGACATAGATCCAGATATTCAACAGAATACAAAAAAATATATTTTACACTAGATTCAAAATTAAGGAAACATTTGAGTTACACTTCAGTCAAATTGTAACCATTACTCAAGTTTGAACCCGCGTTTGAAAGTATCCACTCTAAATGTGGCCGTTTTTTGGGGGTGGGGGGTGAGGGGGTAATGTTACCTTTCTCCAAAGATTGGTGTTTTTTCTGGTATGTGATCAGTCCGTCGTAAATATAAAACGTTTCTTTTCAAATACTGATTTTTCAAAACAATAAAGAAAATTGGAGAACATTTCTCTCAAACCTGATCATATTTAATCTAAAAAGGTATCTACAGGAACAAAACAAGTGTTTTTTTTTTGAGCATCTATTTCAGACATAAGTTTTCTCTAAATCTCAAGGGGAACTCGTATACACACTGCATCGCTAAAGACTCTGGGAAAATTGTTACAGTTACCGCCTGAGAAATTGTCTAATCCCACCTAACATACAAAAGTCAGATATAATGGACTATTGCTGCCATATTTGGACTGGAGCTAATCTCTCTTCACTTTCCAGACTCGAAAGCCTTCATAATTGTTTCCACAGCCTTGCGGATAATGAAATATTTTACGCCCTACAACTCCTTTTACTCCAGGTACGAAATATCAAACCAATCGCTACTCTGTCGTTATTTTCATGAAAAAATATTCGGACGAACCTCGTTCTACTAGTTCAGACATGAGGACGGTCTAGGGGCCGATCATCTTCATTCCCTTCTCATATTACTTGGTTAAAAAAACGTCCCTTCAGGTAGCTTCTTCCTGAGACCCTCCGCTTTGTGGAACAGATTACCGTGAAGATGCTTCCCAATCACTACAATCTTAACTGAAGGGTCAACCGTTATCTATCCTACATATCCTCATAATCTGCACTTTTACCTCCCCCTTCTACATTTAATTGCGTAACCCTCTACTTTGAGCGGCTCTTGGAGCTTTGAATCGGTAAACAAAAGCGTAAACTTAAAAAATAATAAATGATAAAACAGAAATAAATGATGGGCTGGCCAGTAATTTCTCCTGATGATGACTCATGTGTGTTGAAATTTTGAAACAACGTTTTAAAGTTAATCAATATAAATTTATTTAAACAATTTGTTTGTAAAGGTTTTTCTTCATATGAAAAAGGGTTTTTAAACAAATCAAATAAATTTATTTAAACAATGTTCTTTAAAGATCAATTTTTCTTTATGTTGTTTCAAAATTTCAACACACATGAGTCATCATCAGGGAGAAATTTCTGGCCATGAAAAGTTCATCAATATCAATTTATTTAAACAATGTTCTTTTCATTTTATAAAGATAACAAAGTGGTACAAGGAGCTAGTCATTTTTCTAACGTCTTTGTTAATACAGGATTTTGTGTTAGAAAACTAGAATAATTACAGAGGTTCAAAAAGCTGTAAATAAGACAGGCATTTTATTTTTATGGTGGGATTTAATGGGTTAACAATTTAAGTAACCAAATTTATAGTGGGATTTAATGGGTTAACCAGATAAATATAAAATACTGAGAAAGAAAGCAGCATATATAAAAGTATTAATTCAATTTAATTAATTTTTTAATATTATTTTTTTATTCTTATAAGACACAAATTTAACAATTGAAGTAACCAATTTTATGGTGGGATTAAATGGGTTAACCATATAAAAAATAACACTGAGAAAGAAAACAGCATATATAAAAGTATTAATTCAATTTAATTACTTTTTTAATATTATTTTTTTATTCTTATAAGACACAAATTTAACAATTTAAGTAACCAATATTATAGTGGGATTTAATGGGTTAATCAGATAAAAAATAGTGAGAAATAAAACAGCAAATATAAAAATATTAATTTAATTAATTTTTTAATATTATTTTTTTATTCTTATAAGACACCAATTTAACAATTTAAGTAACCAATCTTTTTGGTGGGATTTAATGGGTTAACTAGATAAAAAAATATTGAGAAAGAAAACAGCAAATATAAAAATATTAATCGTAATTTTAAGCAAAGTAAAAAAAAAAAAAAAAAATTAACCAAAGAAACTGATAAACAGAAAGCCCGAACATCAAGTAGCTGAATCGATAAAATAAGAAAGAAGAAATTGATACAAGAAAAATAAAACTAATGAAACACACACACACACACACACACACACATATATATATATATATATATATATATAGCGTATGGGAAGCTTAGAAAAAGTGTCTGAAACTAGAGGTAACTGATAAAACCATGGACATAAATAAACATTTCTTGCCCAAAGATTTATTTTTTTTTTTTTTTTTTTAACATTTTATTTTCAGTTTGGTTGTTTCGTTTATTTTTCTACACTTCATCCTCAAACTAAAGCTAAAAAATACAAGAATAAAAGTCAGTGGAAAAAAACAAACAAACAAAATGGTGAATCTAAGGCTAACCAAAGGGAAGCTGACAGTGACCGGCGCAAGAGTAGCAACAGGGCTGGGCTGATGTACATCATACAAAACAGAGTGTAGAAAATATCTGTCGAACATTATTATTCTGAACCACGACCAGCAGGAATGTTGGTGTTATACCCTGAAGACTAACACATCCTCCATTCTCAGTGGAATACCTGTTTTCGGATTTACTCACATTTTTTTTTTTCTCTTGCAAGTTTCCTGACAGACATTCAAATTTTTGTTGGACGGGGTCGAAGGTAAAAAGACATTTTACATTAACGCACAAAGTTGTGGTTGAATAATTCATTAACAAGTCAAAATATTTTTTCTTTTTTATGTGATTGAGGTGAAATTTCCGGGGATAGTGAGAATAGGAATTTTTATTTTTATTTTTCTACATGGTCCTTTTTTTTTTTTTTTTTTTTTTACTTTTTGCTATTTCCTGCTTTTCTTTCTTTTTTCATTTTCTTTTTATCAATGGTTTTCTTTCTTTATTTCTGTCTTTATTTCTTCCTACTTTGCTTGTTTCTTTATATGAGTTCCTTTCTTGTCTTACTTTATTTCTTTCTTTCGTTCCATTTTGTTTCTTTCCTTTTTTCTTTTTTTCTTTTTTCTTTCTTTCTTTCTTACTTTCTTGCTTTCTATCCCTTGTTTTTCTTTATATGAGTTCCTTTCTTTTCTTACTTTATTTCTGTCTTTCTTTCGTTCCATTTTGCTTGTTTCTTTTCTTTTTTTTTTTTCTTTTTTTCCTTCTTTCTTTATCCTGCTCAGTTTCTTTCTTTTTCATTTATTTTTTATTTCTTCTTATTGTTTTCTTTGTTTGTTTGTTTGTTTCTTTTTTTCTTTCTTTCCCTTGTTTTTCTTTATATGATTTCCTTTCTTTTCTCACTTTATTTCTCTTTCTTTCTTTCGTTCCATTTTGCTTGTTTCTTTCCTTTCTTTTCTTTCTTTTTTTTTTCTTTTCTTTTTCTTTCTTTCTTTTTCTTTCCTTTTCTTTTTTTTTTATCCCTTTTTTTTATTTTTTATCTGATTTTCTTTCTTTTCTCTTTCTTTATTTCTGCCTTTCTTTCCTTCCATTTTGCTTGTTTCTTTCCTTTTTCTTTCTTTTTTTCTTTTTTTCTTTATCCTGCTCAGTTTCTTTCCTTATTTTTCATTTATTTTTCCTTCCTTCCTTCCTTCCTTCCTTCCTTCCTTCCTTTTATTTTTGTTTTTCTCGTTTTCTTCCTTGTTTTCCTTTTCTTTCTTTCTTTCTTTCTTTCTTTCTTTCTTTCTTTCTTTCTTTCTTTCTTTCTTTCTATCCCTTGTTTTTTTTATTTTATTTCTTTTTTTATCTTCCCTACATATCCTCTTAATCCGCACTTCCTCTTCCCTTTACGCCTATTGAACACCTCATTTGATAACCGTCTGTTTTGAGAGGCGCTTGTGCCTTGTATTGAGTGAAAAATACTATAAAATAACAGTTACTGTCGAAAATACTCGAATTAAAAAGACAGAAACATTAATTTTTCAACAAATATGATCCGATTATTTACTCCATTTACATTTTTTGAACTGTTGTCCTTATCTTCGTTGCCATATTTACGATATTTAGGTATTTCGAAGTGAACCCTTAATTTCGGCCAGCGGGGTACATTGTTCTAGTTTCATGTTACATTCTCCTTCCGGTTGTATCACTATCAGTTATCTCACTTTTAACTCAACTCTCTAAGTTTTCGTTCACCTATGCTGTAGCCAGGTATTGAACTAATAACTCTTTGGGACACTGGATTCAACCAACGCTTTTATCTACTGAGCCTTGTACATGAAAAAGGTCGGAGCATACAACGGCTGACATGTCCTGAATATGGCAACGAAGATGTGGACAACAGCTCTAACAATGTAAATAATTACAATACCTCGTATCCGAAATATAGACAGACAATATGATCTAAATATGCAGCAATTTATTCGAAAGTTGGTGAATTATAATGAAAAAAATGTAAACATATCATAATTGTCGGGTGAATTTATATAAAATATTTTTTTTTATAATGCGTTACACCAAGTTCGTGGTATTAAAAAGAAGAAAAGCATTAACTAAAATTGGCAGTTGTCTAACTGATGGTAAATGGTAAATAAAATGAACGTAAATGTCTTTCCGAATGAAGTAGTTTGATTTAATGAAAGTTACCGGAATATATTAACGGCCTTACGGGCCTGTCTTAAGGCTATTGTTAGAAGGGGATATATTGACCATGAACCTTTTATTTGACCTTTTCAATTCTCGGTTTCAATTCTGCTGCTGGATCTGAACCTTATGCCTATCTTGTGACTCGGTGGTTGACACGTAAAGTGAACTTTAACCTCCAGCTAATGTGCTGACGATTCTCAAGGCAAGGATCTATTGCACATTTTATGCATCAGCCAGAATAATGTTCCTTGTTTGTTAAGACTTATCAGGCTTCCTTATTTTAGTTTATTCCTTTTCTGGGTAGATGTTTCTTCTCTGTCCAAAAGCGGTACACACCTACAACCTCTCTGCAATATGCAGCCTATGCTTCATTACTCAATATATGTAGCTGTTGGTGTTTTGTAAAATTGAAGACGTTAAGCGTCTTGAAAGCAGTTTGACACTGCCGCCTTTTCTACTGGTTATCAATCATAGAAGAAATTGAGTTTTCTCATTTGTTACTTTAAAGTAAAGTAGGAACAAATCACACGTATATATTGTTTAAAATTTGCTATATGTACAGAAATAGATTGATCATTATAGGAGATATGGCGTTTATAAGTATAGACAGTGTGAGGCTAGGATTCAACATTGCACGGTGAATGCTAGATTCTCGATTCATTGGCATTAATGCACAAGGTAGCTAGATACATAGAATTTATACAGCGCATGAAAGTAAACTTGTTCATAAAACCTAACTGAAACTGACAGGACTGCATTATTCTTACATATGTTCAGTGTCTCTAACTATTATATATATATATATATATATATATATATATATATATATATATATATATATATATTTATCTATTTACCGTTTTATATACACACACACACACATATATATATATATATATATATATATATATATAATTATTAAAAAAATGATTCCAACGCTTTTACATAAGAGTTCTCATGTTGGAATCATATTTTTAAATAAATAATTATATTTATGCTCTACTTTTTGTATCGAGCACTATTTTTTAAAAAATAATAACAAAAATACTAAAGAACTTTGGATTATTTACCTAACGAGTTCTTTTCCTATTTTATATATATTTCTACGCGCACGGACACACACGTATATATATATATATATATATATATATATATATATATATATATATATATATATATATATATATATATATATATGTATGGAAATAAATTACAACATACTTTACTATTTTTAAGGTTCAATATTAAAAAACTTGTAACATTAAGTATCCCAATATAATTGTGTTGATAGGCAGATATATTTTGATTCAAACTGTAAAAAAAGTCTTTTGGATTTTACAACAGATATCGTGCTAGAATATATATATATATATATATTAAGAAATGGACAAGGTCCGACAATTTATTTATTAAAGACATTTTTATGTTTAACTTTGTTATTTATAGATACAAGTATTTAAGCAATAGGATGCAGGTTCGAATCCTGTTAAAGAACGAATATCCGACAATTTATTTATTAAAATTTTCTCGGACATTCAGGCCGATAAAGTATTTTTAATAGGATTAAGGTGTTTGTTCATAAACAGAATATTTGCTGAATACTTTCTTGACATTAGGCTAGTAAATGTTATTTAAAACTGTTAATCATAAAAGAGCATTTATATATATATATATATATATATATATATATATATATATATATATATATATATATATATATATATGGGGGGTATGTGTACGTGTGTTGGAGATTTAAGAAAACATCATATATATATCTATCTATCTATCTATATATATATATATATATATATATATATAGTGTTCAATATTAAAAATATTAAAATAATATATATATATATAGAATGTATCAAAAATACTTTATAAATTTTGGTGGAGGGGGTTCTACACACAAAAACAAAGACAAAAATCCATATAAACATATGTTAGAAAATCCTTCGTTTTTGAGTCAATAAGTTTAAAGAAAGTTTAAGGTATATGGCGCTTCATTGCTATATAAACTAGGTTAAATTTGTCATTCGTGTACATTTGTGGCTAATCTATCTTCAACGTTTAACGTGTGTATAATAAATTAAATGAGAAGTGTTCCGTTTAACAATGACAGGACACTGATATCGTGAGCAGGGAGATATGATTTTTACATACGGAATGGTAATGGACGCAAGGCTACGCGGTTGTATTCGATAAAGTTTCCATACCGAAGGCAGCCAGGTCATCCAACCGTTACTGATGTTTATCGTCGCGTGGCATCACAAACTACGGATCCTCTGATACGCCTAACATGGAAGAACACGTTCTACATGTATCAGCACACATCAATTGGCCCTAGTACGCCGTACCTCTCATAGTACCACTTGGTTGGGTACTTCAAGAGCAGCTCCTGTATCTGTGTCATTTGAAACGTGTGCAGGGTCTTTCGCCCTCTGATCACTCACTACGGAAGAACTTTCGCCGATGGTTTATTGCACAAAATGCCGATAGTTTGTTTTTCTCTTCAAACTTGTTTACGGATGAGGCAACATTTGGAAGAGATGGAATAACATAGTTACACAACCGAAAGTTGCCGGCTTATCAGAATTCCCATGGTACAATACAGGCTAGACACCAGCATCATTTTATGATTAATGTGTGGGCTGGGATTGTAGGTAACTGTCTGGTAGGTTCATGTGTTCTCCCAGCATGACTTACAGGAGCTGTCTACAGTGACTTTATTTCGAACACACTCTGAGACCTGCTAGAGGATGTACCCCTGCTAATGCGAAGATGTATGTGGTTCAAGCACGATAGGGCTACAGAACATTTTAGTCATACTGTTCGCGATGCATTGGCTGACATTCACCTTGAAAGATGGATAGGTAGGTGAGGACTGGTTCCCCTGTGTGCACGTTTCCCTGACTTCAACCTTTTGAATTTGTATCGGTGGGACTACCAAAAACAATTACATTTATTTTATGCAGTAGACATTAATACCGCAGAGGCGCTCCTGCGAAACCAATCGAAATTCTGTGGGAGTATTTTGAGTATTTGCCATTCAATTGCCTAACGTTATTCCAATGTATAATAATTTACATATCACAAATATACTTTATAAATTTGATCTTTGGCAAAAATGATATTTACCAAAAAGAAGGGCTAAATTAAAAGAGCGTTCAATACAATTAAAGCAAAAAAAAAAAAAAATTATGTAGGGCAATTTAAGATATAAAATATTTGGAACACCAATCTTTGTTATCACGATTTATATATAAAACAGCGAAGCAGTCTGTCTGTGGATGGCAATATATACGCACCCGAAAAACTTAAATTCGGTTGTGTACTTTTTGAAGATAAGTGCGAATATGTAAACACTGACCATTACTACTAATATTACAAGGCTCTTCCCTTCCCTGAATTCAGCAATATCAGGGATTGTCGTTGTTTATTCAAAGAGTAAGTACTTAAAAATGGCTTAGAGGGGAAATCTTAGACTGTTGCCAAATCAGACGGGTTTCGATCTCGGCTTGAAGCAATCGAACGTCTAGCCACACTGATGAGCTGCGAAACAGTCTGTCTGTGGATGACTATATATATATATATATATATATATATATATATATATATATATATATATATATGCATGCACATAGGTATAAAATGTTAATGGGCAGCTTTAAATCAGACCAGGAAACAGTAGTGTGAAAAAATAAAATAAAATGAAAGTAAAGTAGCATGTAGAACATTTAATATTAAGCAAGCAGGAGGTCAGTTTAATCCACTACCTTGATTTCAAACTTACGGTATCCCTTTTTTTTTATAAAAGATACCGTAAGGTAGAAACCAAGGTAGCGGATTCATCTCACCTCCTGATTGTTAAAAAGTGATTAGTATATATATATATATATATATATATATATATATATATATATATATATATATATATATATAATTATTTATTTAAAAATATGATTCCAAATCGCTACATAAGAGGTCTCATGTTTCAAATCAAGAGCCGAAAACTTCAATATAATCCTTTAAATTAAATTGAGTTGAAAGTAAAATGGGCTCCGTTCCATCTTCAAGCGAAATTTTTGTTGGAATAACGTATATCTGAAAATTACTTGTTTTAAAATTGAAAT